TAGCCTAAACTACACAGTGAACTCAAGGACAGCCTGAGCTACACAGAGCGAAATCCTATCGCCAAATAAATAAGACAAATTTTTTCAAAGGTACAAAATCTACATGTATGTTATAAAACAAGCATTTTAAGAAGATTGCGAAAGTATTTTAATTAGATTTATTTAAAACTCAAGTACTCAAGTTTGAGTAAAAGATTACCACTCTGCTGTTTGTAGAAAAACATTGTTCCCTAAAAGAGAATTACTGAGAATGAAAGCAACAGATCACAGGAAATTAACTTTGTTAACATGGTCGCAAACTCAAAAAACAACAACAACAAAAACGCCATGGTAACTGAATTCAAAGGTACTTTTTTTGTATTTAGTACAGATTCTACAGGGTCTCACTACATGGATCGGACTCGTAGTGATCCTCCTGTTTTTAGCCTCCCAAGTGCTGGAATGCCATCGTGCGCCACTATGCCCAGTCTCAATCACCATCTCCACACACCCCAGGGGCAGGGCTGGCAAGGCATGCAGGAAATCAAACCCAGGTTCCTGCATCTGCCTAAGCAGGTGCTTTAATCCACTGGCTGAGCTACCTGGCTGACCCACAAAAGTACTGCAGAATCTGGTGGGAGTAAACAAAGAAACTGAAAGCAACAATTCTTAGGAGAAAGGAGTACTGGCCAGGGATATGGTTCAGTGGATCAGTGCCTGCTTGGCAAACACAAGGTCCTGAGTTTGATTCCCATTACGCCCACCCCCAGGAAAAAAGAAAAAAGGAGCGAAGGTGGGAGAGAGGGAGGGAGGGAAGGAAGATTATAGGAGATGATATATCCAAGAGAAAAAATAGACAACTGGGTATTGTGTTTACCTAGATCTGCTACAGTTCCTCCCTTAACAGGTGTATTTTCACTATCTTTTTTTGGGTTTACTGAAAGACAAAACACAAGCATGATTATTTTTAAGAAGAAAATGGAGAAGAACATGATCAAAAACTAGACGCATTTTATTGTGCCTCCGACATAACACACTACTCAACTTCCTGCAAAAACCAAAAGCTCAGCTGTAAAACATTAACACTTAAGAGACTACATGCTCTAATTATTCAAGCAGCAATATATTTTCACTAGAAAAACATATTCATATGACAACATGCAAAGAATTTGAATTCTTCCCCCAAAGTTCTGCATTTGTTTTCTTTTCTTTTCTTCTTCTTCTTTTTTTTTTTTTTTTGCAGAACCAGCGATTGAACTCAGGCCCTTGCACTTGCTAGGGAAGCGCTTATTTCACTGAGCCATCTCACCAGCCCCCTGCATTTGTTTTCAATCCCATTTCTGTGCCATTAATTCATTCAGATAGATGAACAAGAAGGATGTGATATCCTTTATATACCCACATAGATGCTGAAATACCTGTTTTTTAACCTATGTATATCACAGTTACAGAAATGTTACTAATACTGTCCTTATTTCCTAACACTTGTTTTTTCTCATTTTACTGTGTGCCTCTCTGACCATTTTGGGTACAGAGTTTGAACTACAATTCCTTCATTATTAGATATCCACTATACCCACAGGTACACTGAAAATTAGTCCTACTAAGTTTTTTTTCATTATTCATTATGAAAATAATTTATTATTTATTTTAATAATTCATTATTCAGGGATGAAGAGACAGCTTGATGGATATATTTCAGAAGTGGCCATTCTTGGATGATTTGGCCATTTTTGTAGCAAAACCAACTTATATTAATTATTACCAACTCCCAGTTTTAGGCAGTTATCTGTGGGAACACTATCACTTTTATAGCTCTTTCACTTAAATCTTGATTATCTCCTTTTCTCTCAAATCAACTTAAAAATATTTTGGTAAACTGGAAGTTTTTATTGCCAAATGTTTTATAATACAATAATTTTTAGGAATAAACAATATTTTGGGAGAAATAGGTATTCTTCTTAAATTGCTTTTGTGGTGCCAGGGATTGAACTCAGGCCCTTGCACTCGCCAGGCAGGCACTTATTCTACTGAGTCATTTCCCCAGTCCCTATATCTGAATTCCTAAAAGCACAATTAATTGGTTAGGTTTTGTTTAAGGAACTCACTTTGTAGTGCAGGCTGGACTTAAATTTACTATGTAGCCCAAGCTGGCCTCAAACTCATTTAAAAAAAAAAAAGTCCAAATACTCAATTACACAGTGGAGGGAATTTAAATTAAGTTAATAAAAAACACCTGTAAAGGAGATATGGCGGGCTGGTGAGATGGCTCAGTGGTCAAAAGCACCTACTTAGAACAAACTTAACAAAGCACAGGGACCACGGTTCAATCCCCCAGC